AAACTATTGTCAGGGGAAAGTAATAAGTATTTTGAGTACACCATGGCCAAATACGATCTTATCACCACAGTCAAGACTACACAGGTGGAAAGAGACGACTGTTGCAGAAATGTATTTGCTTTTTGCAACAATAATGCTTATGCCTCATGTCTATAAACATAATATAAAAGCATACTGGTCCACAGATCGGCTAATTTCTACCCCGGTCTTCAGTGAAATCATCCCAGTGAACAGGTTTATCTTACTCTTACGTATGTTGCACTTCTCTGACAAACCAGGCCTGACAGAAGTGACAGGTTATACAAGATTAGAAATGTTTTCATGTATCTCAAACAAAAGTTCAGCATATACTTTTATCCATTCAAGAATGTTGTAATTGACGAGTCTTTGATTTTGTTCAAAGGTAGACTGTCATTCAAGCAGTATATACCGAGCAAGAGGAAACGCTTTGGTATAAAACTGTTTGTACTCTGTGACTGTGACAGTGGCCTGGTGTTGGATATTGTTGTATACACGGGAAGTAAAACATTGAAAGATACCAAGATGTTATTGGGTATCTCAGGTGACGTAGTGAGAAACATGATGGCACCTTATCTTGGTAAGGGGCATACATTTATATACCGATAACTGGTACACAAGCCATTACTCAGTGATTTCATGCAAGTGACAAGACAGATGTGTGTGGCACAGTGCGTTCTAATCATAAAACATATGCCAGGCTCAACGCAGGTGCTCGTGGTGATGACGTGCAGGTGTTTACTGCCAATGACGTCATGGCATTACGGTGGCATGACAAACGAGATGTCACATTGTTGACAACCATTCACCGTATAAAATGCAAGACAGTGGCAAAGTTGATCGAGTGACTAATGAACGTATTCGAAAACCAGTGACAGTGATTGATTATACACAAAACATGCGCTTGGTTGATAAATGTGACATGCAGATTGGTTTTGTTGACTGTGTTCGTAAGAGTTACAAGTGGTACATGAAACTTTTCTTCCATCTCATGGACATTTCAATGCTCAATGCATATAATATGTACCAAATAAAGACTGGCAACAGACCACCGTATGGTGAATTTTGTTTGTCTGTTGTCAGACAACTCGTAATGAAGTACCAGGTAAGAACACCTGCTATACAACAAGGTCCTCGAATTACTCAGGATATACCCAAGCGTTTGAGGAGGGAAGGTGATCATTTCATAATACAGCTTCCTTCAACTCAGAAGAAATTTGCTCAGAAGAGATGCATTGTCTGTGCACAAACAAAATGATGGCAACAAAGACGCAAAGACACTCGGTTTATATGCGAGGAATGTAAGGTGCCTCTGTGCATGGTGCCTTGTTTCAAGGAGTTCCACAAGCTCCAGCAGTTCTAAAACCATGTCCAGTGATTGTAAATATGTAAATACAGTGGACCCCCGCATAACGATTACCTCCAAATGCGACCAATTATGTAAGTGTATTTATGTAAGTGCATTTGTACGTGTATGTTTGGGGGTCTGAAATGGACTAATCTACTTCACAATATTTCTTATGGGAACAAATTCGGTCAGTACTGGCACCTGAACATACTTCTTAAGTGAAAAAATATCGTTAACCGGGGGCCACTGTATATGATAGAACATTAGTATTATACAATATTTGTGCATGTTTATTGTAATAAACAACAGTGGTAAACAATAATATGATAATAACTTTAGTGCGGTTATTGTGTCCAATACAGTGAGCTTATATATATACATTATATACAGTATTGGTCTCTCAGGCCCCAAATGTTAGTAGGAAAAGAAAAAAAACTGGAAAAGAAAAGAAAAAACTATAAAAACCGCTAAATAATGTAATGCGCGTATGTGGAATTCGTCAATGTTGCCGCCACCACATCATTTTTGACAAACTTCTTGGCACTGTATCTCGGTAAGTACTGATCAGAATTTTTTTTTTTGTCTTATTACCTTCACAAAAATATGCTCTTTAATTCTATAAGAAAAAATAATTTTTTTTTTTTTTTTTTTTCAAAATTTCTTGGACACTGGAGCACCACTTCAGATTTTGGCCTTGGACCCTGAAGGGGTTAACAAAGGGGATATAAATAAGGTTTTGAGGATATCACTTCAAGAAAGAACCCGCAATAATGGATTCAAATTAGATAAGTTTAGATTTAGAAAGGATATAGGAAAGTATTGGTTTGGAAATAGGGTAGTTGATGAGTGGAACAGTCTGCCTAGTTGGGTTATCAAAGCTAAAACCTTGGGTAGTTTCAAATATAGATTGGATATATACACGAGTGAGAGGGGTTGGATTTGAGTGGGACTTGCACGTGAGTAAGTAGAAGAATTATCAAAGTTTATTGCTTGGGTAGCATTTATTCTGTTAGTGGGTTGGATTTGTTAAGGACCTGTATGTAAAGTAAAAGGACACAAGTGCAACCAGGAGCTTTGTAATAAAGTTGGTAGAATTACCGACAATATGTAAAGTAAAAGGACACAAGTGCAACTAATGTGACATTGCCACAATAAAATGTCACATTAGTTGTACTTGTGTCCTTTTACTTTACAACCAGGAGCTTTGTCAAGCTGATACAAACAGTACATGGACACAGAGGGTATATAAAGGCTCAGAGTGAGGTGCAATACTAGTGAGGTACCATTTCGATGTTCACTAGTGGTAGTAGTAGTAGTAGTGACAAAAGTTGTAGTAGTAATACAATATGGTAGAGAAATTAATTCATACATGAGTAAAAGGATATGAAAGCTATTACTTGGGTAACATAAAAATAGGTTGGACAAATATAAACTGGATAGAGGCAGCTTGTTTCAGTGTTCACTCTCTGTAATGTGCTTGGTGTAGTATAACAGGAGAGACTATGTGATGGCAGGGTTTACTGTTTTCAGGAGGATTCTTGCTAAGACTTCAGAGATGGTGAAGCTGCCATTGTTTTGTTTAATTGTATTCGAAACAGCGATCAGTGATGATTCGAGGCACTTGCGTCTGCGAAAATTATTTTCTTTGATCACTAATTGGGCGTCCCTGAATTTCATGAGATGATTGGTGGAATTTCGGTGTTGTACACAGGCGTTCAAGTTATCATTCCTACGTGCGTAAATGTGTTCATTGAGGCGGGTGTCGAGGTTTCTTGCTGTTTCACCTACATAAATCTTGTCACAGCCTCCACAAGGTATAGTGTAAACCCCTGCATTGACTGGTTCATGGTGCTTTGATTTTGGCCTGGTTAGATCCTATATTGAAGTGCTAGAAGCGATGGCGACTCTGGTGTTAGCTTGTGAAAGTACTTTAGAAATGTTCAGTGCAACCTGCCTGTTGGGAAGAATTATAACTTTGTTGGGAGTGGTGTTGATGCGTGGAGAATTAATGATCTGAAGAGCTCTTTTCTTGCAGTCTTTGATGAAAAAGGAAGGAAAATGTAACTCAGTGAAGGTTTGGTGAATGTATGTACATTCCTCGTCAAGAAACCTGCCTAGTATGGGCCAGTGGGCCTACTGCAGTGTTCCTCCTTTCTTATCTTCTTATAAGTTCTGATTAGAGATAAAAAATATATTGAAGTTCATGCTATATTTACACTGTATACAAATGTGTTTCACTCACAGGTTAACTTCCATACCATCGCTGTAAAGTGAATATTGTCTTTAAGCGGGTCATGGCCCCCCTTATTTTTTCCCCTCCCCTTGACAGTGCATATAAAAGCCTGAAAATGTATTAACAATTATTTTTTTTTTTTATTATCACACTGGCCGATTCCCACCAAGGCAGGGTGGCCCGAAAAAGAAAAACTTTCACCATCATTCACTCCATCACTGTCTTGCCAGAAGGGTGCTTTACACTACAGTTTTTAAACTGCAACATTAACACCCCTCCTTCAGAGTGCAGGCACTGTACTTCCCATCTCCAGGACTCAAGTCCGGCCTGCCGGTTTCCCTGAATCCCTTCATAAATGTTACTTTGCTCACACTCCAACAGCACGTCAAGTATTAAAAAACATTTGTCTCCATTCACTCCTATCAAACACGCTCACGCATGCCTGCTGGAAGTCCAAGCCCCTCGCACACAAAACCTCCTTTACCCCCTCCCTCCAACAATATCATTATTAATTTCACAATAGCACTAGCCCTAAAAAGACTGCAGCAGTAAAAATAATTAATAAAAAAAATTTGAAAATTATCATAAAACCTTTTAACAGCAAGGCAAGCTTCGTAAATAATAGATGTGAGTATAATTGAAAAGTGCCATATTAGCGAAATTCTCTAGAGCGACCAGTGCATTAACCAGATATGCCTGTATAGGTTGGCCATCACTAATCCGGCAATCAGTTATCCAGTTCCATCAGTAATCCAGCACTAATTTTGGCTAACATAATTTCAAATTTCATCATTATACTGACTCAAATTTCATCATTATACTGACTCAGAAATTGTGCAGATGGTTGTAAATCCACAGCAGCAAGCCAGTGGAGGAGAAAGCAGTGGTGAAAATGAGGAAGATATAACAGGAAGAGTCTCTGTTGATGGGTTAATTAAGTGTATTCTAACCTAACCACTCTGTAATCCGGCAAACTCACTGATCCAGTACACTACAGGTTCCAGTGATGCCGGATTAGTGATAGCCAACTTCTACCGTAGTTGTAATTTTGATTTATTCTAATTAAATCTCAATTAGTATTGGTATACTTAAGCTTCTTGGTCTGTAAATTTGTGAAGAGTTAAATTGTCTACCTCTTTTGCCCTTATCAAAAATCCTCTTTGATATCTTTCCTTATTTACTTAAAACTAATCTCTTATTTGCAATCATTTATGTTTGCATTTGGCCACCAGCAACAACAGCCTGGTTCACCAGGAAAACACCAGATGAGCCTGGCCCAAGGCCAGGCTCCTAGAGTAGAATAACTCCCAAAAACTCACTAAAGGTATTTATCCCTTTTTGAGGCTGTGTTCACCAGTTTAACTTAAAATGTAAAGAAATTATCTTGCATTTTTTTTTCAGATATTACTATGATGGTGATATGATTGCAAAAGTGTCTGGGAAGCGGTTTGTATACAGGTTTGTGTTAGACCTGAAGAGTGTTGTCGGCTATAGCGCTGATGAGCTGAGAATACAAGTGGAAGAGTGTCGAACCAGAGCTGGTTTCACACTGGTCGTCCCCCCGACGCTGGTTGTTCAGGCATTGTGAGAGAAAACTACCTTAGGATTCCACTAGACGTCCTGAGGATTCTACCAGATATCCTGAGGATTCCATCAGATGTCCTGAGGATTCCACCAGATGTCCTGAGGATTCCACCAGATGTCCTGAGGATTCTACCAGATGTCCTGAGGATTCCACCAGATGTCTTGAGGATTCTACTAGATGTCCTGAGGATTCCACCAGATGTCCTGAGGATTTCACCAGATGTCCTGAGGATTCTACCAGATGTCCTGAGGATTCCACCAGATGTCCCTATGACTCCAGATATCCCTAGGGCATTCCTGGCTGTGGTGGTATAAATCTGGCTGTCCCTCTACCACTAACAATCATCCCTAAGATGCCATCATTGGATGACGTATGGCAGTTACGTACATCACACGTGTGTGTACATTTGAATTATCTAATGTATTAAGTTTTTGTATATTGCAAAACTGTGTCAACAGCTGTATAATATAGCTGTATTTATCCTACTGCATTGTTAGTGTTTTCTATATTGTATTATATATTAATTGTACGACAATTCATTTTTATATACATATTTCAAAATGCAGCAAGGAGGCGGTTGGAGGCAGTGGAGATGTCCTGTCTAAGGGCAATGTGTGGTGTAAATATTATGCAGAATATTCGGAGTGTGGAAATTAGGAGAAAGTGTGGAGTTAATAAAATTATTAGTCAGAGGGCTGAAGAGGGTTTGTTGAGGTGGTTTGGTCATTTAGAGAGAATGGATCAAAGTAGAATGACATGGAGGGCGTATAAATCTGTAGGGGAAGGAAGGCGGGGTAGGGGTCATCCTTGAAAAGGTTGGAGGGAGGGGGTAAAGGAGGTTTTGTGGGCAAGGGGTTTGGACTTCCAGCAAGCGTGCGTGAGCGTGTTAGATAGGAGTGAATGGAGACAAATGGTATTTGGGACCTGACAAGCTGTTGGAGTGTGAGCAGGGTAATATTTAGTGAAGGGATTCAGGGAAACTGGTTATTTTATATAACCGGACTTGAGTCCTGGAAATGGGAAGTACAATGCCTGCACTCTAAAGGAGGGGTTTGGGATATTGGCAGTTTGGAGGGATATGTTGTGTATCTTTATACTTATATGCTACTTCTAAACTGTTGTGTTCTGAATACCTCTGCAAAAACAGTGATAATGTGTGAGTGAGGTGAAAGTGTTGAATGATGATGAAAGTATTTTCTTTTTGGGGATTTTCTTTCTTTTTGGGTCACCCTGCCTCGGTGGGAGACGGCCGACTTGTTGAAAAAAAAAAAAAAATTCAAAATGATAAAAAGTTGAATAATTTATACATGGCAATATATTTTATATCCTGTATATAATATATACAAACAGAAAATAATGTTATCATTAGAAATTATGTCCAGTTGAGTCAGACTTAAAAATTATATTAAAGAATAAATCCTTTTTTTTTTCTTCAAGATGGACTCAAATTTTATTACCCTACAAAATTGTGCCAAAATATTTACAGCCTCTCCTCACTTAGCGATGTACAGTGGACCCCCGCATAACGATTACCTCCAAATGTGACCAATTATGTAAGTGTATTTATGTAAGTGCGTTTGTACATGTATGTTTGGGGGTCTGAAATGGACTAATCTACTTCACAATATTCCTTATGGGAACAAATTCGGTCAGTACTGGCACCTGAACATACTTCTGGAGTGAAAAAATATCGTTAACCGGGGGTCCACTGTACTTGTTTACCGAGGACTTGGACTTAAAACGGACTCTCTGACCAGTATGCATACCTAAATAATGTATATTAGAGCTGATTTCCTCTGTTTTGTTTATTACAATATACAGTTCACTACTGTAGAAATATTTAAAAGTACAGTGGACCCCCGGTTAACGAACTTTTTTCATTCCAGTAGTATGTTCAGGTGCCAGTACTGACCGAATTTTTTCCCATAAGGAATATTGTGAAGTAGATTAGTCCATTTCAGACCCCCAAACATACACGTACAAACGCACTTACATAAATACACTTACATAATTGGTCGCATTTGGAGGTGATCGTTAAGCGGGGATCCACTGTACTGGAACAATACCCAATCCACACAGAGGAAAATGAAACTTTTGACGACGACATCATAAGTTCCATTATCCTGTGTGCGGGTTATTTGTGTACTGTATCTGAGATGTGCTGACTGTGGTGTTTGATATCTACCATACCTTATCTTTGAAGAATTGAAGAGTTTCGAGAGTTTAGCTACTCTCGGAACCTGGTCATGGGCCGGGTGTGCAGATATGTGCCAACCATGGTATTTGCTCCCAACCACATTGTGAGATTCAGATTTCTGTTGTAATATAGCTCTTCAATACATATCTGAATTGCCTGTGTAACTTTTATTCTCTGAGATCCATACACGAGACTCCATTAATGTTGTACTTAACAGAAGAGAAAGTAACATCAAATGTATTGACTCAAACCAAAGCCAAAATCAGCACTGGAAATGAGACGCCTTCTCCTCTCTTGAGATATTACAGCCGTGTTAATAAATTGATCATATAGGCATACCTTGTTAATACTGTGCTCACTATGGAGTGCTTCGCTAATATGGCGCTTTTTGTTTAGGTGCTTCTCGATTTATGATAGGGTTACATACCAACGAATCCATTGTAAATTGAAAATATCACAAGTCGAATATGAATTTGATATACTAAATACATTAAATTACTGTCACTGAACAAGTAAATAAACAAATAATTACTGCAACTAACGGGTCGTCCTAGGAAAGGATGGAGGGAGGAATTAATGAAGTTTGGTATTCAAAGGGCTTGGATGTACAACAATAGACTCCTGGTTGTCTTCAAGACCCTGGTTGTCTTCAAGACTCCTGGTTGTCTTCAAGATCCCTGGTTGTCTTCAAGACTCCTGGTTGTCTTCAAGACTCCTGGTTGTCTTCAAGATCCCTGGTTGTCTTCAAGACCCTGGTTGTCTTCAAGACTCCTGGTTGTCTTCAAGATCCCTGGTTGTCTTCAAGATCCCTGGTTGTCTTCAAGACCCCTGGTTGTCTTCAAGACCCTGGTTGTCTTCAAGACCCCTGGTTGTCTTCAAGACTCCTGGTTGTCTTCAAGACCCCTGGTTGTCTTCAAGACTCCTGGTTGTCTTCAAGACCCCTGGTTGTCTTCAAGACTCCTGGTTGTCTTCAAGACTCCTGGTTGTCTTCAAGACCCCTGGTTGTTTTCAAGACCCCTGGTTGTCTTCAAGACCCCTGGTTGTCTTCAAGACTCCTGGTTGTCTTCAAGACCCCTGGTTGTCTTCAAGATTCCTGGTTGTCTTCAAGACCCCTGGTTGTCTTCAAGACTCCTGGTTGTTTTCAAGACCCCTGGTTGTTTTCAAGACCCTTAGTTGTTTTCAAGACCCCTGGTTGTCTTCAAGACCCCTGGTTGTCTTCAAGACCCCTGGTTGTCTTCAAGACTCCTGGTTGTTTTCAAGACCCCTGGTTGTCTTCAAGACCCCTGGTTGTCTTCAAGACCCCTGGTTTTTTCAAGACCCCTGGTTGTTTTCAAGACCCCTGGCTGTCTTCAAGACCCCTGGCTGTCTTCAAGACCCCTGGTTGTCTTCAAGACCCCTGGTTGTCTTCAAGACCCTTGGCTGTCTTCAAGAACCCTGGTTGTCTTCAAGACCCCTGGCTGCCTTCAAGACCCCTGGCTGCCTTCAAGACCCCTGGCTGTCTTCAAGAAGGCACTGGACAGGCATCTAAAGTCAGTACCTGACCAACCGGGCTATGGTCATACGTCAGTTTGTGTGCAGCCAGCAGTAACAGCCTGGTTGATCAGACCCTGATCTGCCATGAGGTCTGGTCTCAGACCATGAAACGGGAGCATTGACCCCCAAAACCCTCTCCAAGTAAACTCCAGGCTTGTGCGAGTGTGTTAGGAGTGGAGATGAATGGCTTTTGGAACTTGATGAGCTGTTGGAGTATGAACAGGGTAATATCTTGTAGAGGAATTCAGGGAAAGCTCCAGGACTCTAAGTCCAGCTAGCCAGACTGGAGTCCTGGAGGTGGGAAGTACAATGCCTACACTTTAAAGAAGGGGATTTTGGATATTTGCTGTCTAGAATAACATCTAAACTGTTGTATCTGCACACCTCTGTTTAGAATAACATCTAAACTGTTGTATCTGCACACCTCTGTTTAGAATAACATCTAAACTGTTGTATCTGCACACCTCTGTTTAGAATAACATCTAAACTGTTGTATCTGCACACCTCTGTTTAGAATAACATCTAAACTGTTGTATCTGCACACCTCTGCAGAGTTAGTACTCCTCTATTTGCCTAATTGGGGTTGAGTCATAGCTCCTGGCCCTGCCTCTTTGCTTGTTGCTACTAGGTCCTCTCCCTGCTTCATTAGCTTTATCATACCTCGTCTTGAAACTACGTATGGATCCTGCCTTCATGAGGCTTGGTCAGAGACTGAGCCACGGGGGTGTTGACCTCAAAACCCCTTCCATGTATGTTACATCACTTTCCAGACTGTTCCACTTCCTGACAAATACTGAGTCTTCAACTTCCAACTGTGACTCCTTGTTGCTGTGTCCCATCTCCAGAATATACTGTCATTGTCCACCTTGTCAATTCTTCTCAGCATTTTATATGTTGTTATCATGTCCCCCCATCCCTCCTGTCCTCTAGTTTTGTTAGGTCGATTTTCTTTAACCTTCGTAGGACATTCCCCTTAGCTCCGGGACTAGTTTTGTTGCAACATTTGCACTTTTTCTAATTTCTTGACATGCTTGACCAGGTGTGGGTTCCAAACTGGTGCTGCATACTTTAGTATGGGCCTGACATATACAGTGTACAGAGTCTGGAATGGTTCCTGACTGAGGTGTCTGAATGCTGTTCTTAGGTTTCCCAGGCGCCCACATACTGCAGTAGTTATTTGATTGATGTGCACCTCAGATGTGCTCGGTACTTACCCTAAGATCCTATTCTTTGAGTGAGGTTTGCAGTCTTTGGCCTCCTAGCCTGTACTTTCCTGTTTCTTTGCCCTTCCCTGATCTTCATGACTTTACATTTGGTGGGGTTAAATTCCAGGAGCTAGTTGCGGGACCATGCCTGTAGCCTATCCAGGTTCCTTTGTAGTCCTGCCTGATACTCATCTGATGTGATTCTCCACATTAACTTCACATCATCTGCAAACAGGGGACACTTCTGAGTCTAACCCTTCTGTTGTCACTCACATATACAGTGGAACCTCTGGTCACGAACGTTTCCGAACATGAACAGATTGGGTCACGATTTATTCACAGTTCACGACTTGTTCGCCAAATTTTTGCATCTGGTCATGAACACATAATGAAGTGCCGAACAAACACAGCCATGCCAATTTTCCCCACTTCCTGTTGTTTGTGTATACCTAACAAAGACCCTTGTAGTCAGTCTCGGTATGTTTTTTTCTCTGTTAAGCTGTGCATTATTTTTATAATTAAGGATTTTTCAAACTTTAATTATTTTTTCAGTGATTAAAACTCTTAAAAACTGTTTAAAGCAAATGGTTTGTAGGGGTCTAGAATGGACTCGTGCAATGTTAGTTTTCTCTGTTGTTCAAGGTTTTTACATTTAGTGTACTATTACACTGTGCATTCTATGGTATAATTGCCTATTTTTGTGTTTAAAAATCTTATAAAATAATATTTACATACAGTTCGTAGAAGTCTGGAACAGATTAATCATATTTACATACAGTCCAAAGGGGAAATTAGGTTTGGATCACGACCAAAATTTTGGAACGAATTATGGTTAGAGGTTCCCCTCTAACAGAAACAGCGCCGGTCTTAGGATTGATTCCTGTGGAACCCCCTCTCATCACAGGCACCCACTCTGACGCCTCATCATGTACAATGACTCATTGCCTACCTGTCAAGCATTCTCTGATCTGTTGCAGTGCCTTTCCTGTTATATGTACCTGATCCTCTAGCTTTTGCACTAATCTCTTGTGTGGAACTGTGTCGAAAGCCTTCTTGCATTCCAAGAAAATGCAGTCTGCCCACCCCTCTCTCTGTTACCTTGTCATGAAACTCCAGTAGGTTTGTGACACAGGATTTCCACTTCTTGAAACCATGCTGGTTGTTGTGTATAAACTTTTTTCTTTATAGGTGCTCCAACACTCTCCTCCTGATAATCTTTAACATGACTTTGCATACATCTGGCATGACTGATTTTGGCAAGACCTTCCAATCAGTCATAGCCAGCCACACAGATCAAATAACTTCCCTAAACACAAAGATTGATAATGCCGTCAAGGACTGGAAAACAAACATGGATACCCAATTGAAAATTATTTTGCTAACCAAGATGACAAGACAGAGCAAGACAAGTTATCTGATGCAGTAATAATTAACACTCCACTCTTTCCCAGCGAATTAAACCATTCAAACTGCAAAGATACAACTCTCCAGATCATACGTG